TTGTTTTTTTTTTTCGGGCGAACGTCCATTGTATAAGCTTACATTTACACGGTTGCATCTCTCCTGAGGCATATAAAGCGCATACGGAGCGTGGCCCGGAGTAGTCTTTTTGGACATCTTTTTTTTTTGGGTGTTTAGTACAAAATAACCTGTCGGATGACACAGGAACTTCTTCATCGCCACTCTTTCCGTTGTTCATCGTCTTTTCCGTTTGTCGCATTTCGCTGCCCGGGGAGCCGGTATATTGGATTCGGCCGGGGATTCATCTCCCGCAAGGTTCTTCGGGCCCGACGAGGCGAGTTCTCATGAATGCCCGACGTACCTGGTAAACCCACCAAGCTTTTTAATTGCGGCTTGACATCCGAATCCTCACCCGAGAAGCGAGCTGCCTTCTGGGTCCTGTCAAAATTGCTTAGTGCTACCGTTACACTGGTAACATTACGGGATGGCAATAAGGTGGATAGTGATTTCCCGTCGAGTCCCTCGTCTCACGGTCTCCCGCCTCCGCGGGTTGGGTGGGGATATATGGTCGGTATTCCAAAAGGATAAAACAACTTCAATCTTACCCCCCTCCGGCGAGTGAGACGGAGTAAGTGAACGAGATTTGTTTGTGGCTGTGTCTTCCAATATTGGTGGGTTCTTGAACCTTGGGGGGATGGGAGGGGCTATTCGGAGGTTACGACGGGTACAGATACCGGGTTGCTGGTTATGATTTTCGCGAAGGACTTTGGTTCTTTCTTGGGAATGAAGTGTGTTCCGAAGTTGGTGATGTGGGGCGTTGGAGTTGTGCGAAGTGAAATGAGTATAAGAGGTGTGGATGTATGTGCCTTTTATCTAGACGTCTCATCTTGGATATAATGGTCAGCATAACTCACCCTTTTCCCCGTACCGGTGCGCGCCTAATCTTAGCTAACCACGAAGACCCGGGTCCTCGTCACCCGGGGATGGGGCGGTCCCATCTGCTGGTGACTCAATGAATCCAAGGACCCCGTTCTGACGGGTGTGGAGTGTCTTCGGAGATGGTTGACTTCGTTTACACGGGGATTGTAATATTTCCAATTATCAAAGCCGGTCCGGCATGTGAGCCTACACTTCTCCCCGCGCCCCGGCTCCTTCTCTTGCCTTCTTCCCGGTTTACCTTGGATGGAAATAGAAACGGAGATGGTCTTCATCTCGTGGGTCGGTGGGAGGAGGAGGAGGAGGAGGGGTTCATGTCTTGGGGTTTGTAATTTTGCGGACTGATCCCTCCGCTGTCACAACCTCATTTGTCGGTTATTGGAGGTGAATCTTGACAGTCGATAGTTCCCCATCTCCAGTGTTACCACCCTTTTTTCACATACTTCTGGGCCACTGACACTTGGTGTGTTCTCATCAACGTGACCCAAATTAAGCATCTGCCGACATGGACTTGAGGAGGAAGGGACGACGGAGTGCCTCGAAGGGGGTACGATCGTCGCCTTCCCGCGAAGTAGGCGCCGTTGAGGAAGGGGATGGGGGAAGATAGTTCCTCGCTACCGAAATGCAGCTAATGATGTCTTGCAGACTTGAGCTCGCGTCCCAACTTGCCGGGTGCTTGGGGGCTGTGTAGAAGCCCAGAAGGGCGACCTAGGGGTTGACGGCGGGTGGTTTTTGATGATGTGCATGGGCTACCCACTCTGTGATATATATATATCCTTCTCGGCCGTGTCCCCGGTCTCGGTGCCGGGCCATCGGTGAGGAGGGAGTGTGTTTAGGGGGGAAAGGGTACCTTGGCTCCGTGAGAAGGGGGGGTGGGGGATATCTTTCATGAAAGAACTGTTGTGTAACTCCATAGAGTTGTTATGTAAGCTCAAGCCCGACGGTGATATTTCTTCTGGTTCGAGTCTGCATAGTCTCGAAAGCAAATATGCAGTGGATCTGGATACAAGTTTGGAAGAAGTTGTGCAGGAAACAAGTCTATGAGGAGCAATGGAATGATTTGGCTTGGTACCCTTGACTGGAAGACGTTCTTGCACACTGTGAGAGGCAGTCACTCTCTAATTATACGTCATTCTTGGAACTCATACCTAGTTTCCCTCCTCTATAAGGGAGGAATCTGTCCTAGCACTCGTGACTATGTACTCAGATCCCCTTATGGGAGCCTTGGGCTGGGTTGGCTGATGAACTTGACACCGTCTTTAGCTTTCCTTATGGCTCAAGTGGTTAATTTTGGGAGGTTTACGGAAGAAATGTATCTCTACGAGTAGAGTCTTAGTAGGTAGCCTGCCGTGGTGCTTGGACTACAATATTGGGACTTCAATATACCAGAGTCTGAATAGCTAGTTCGTTCTTATAAGGACTTGTTTGAAACTATCCTCCTCACACTGATTGAAAGTACGATGTTGTGAAAGGTGGCTTGGCCTCCTTCAAGACAAACTAAAGTGTAAAGAGGAGCAAGATGAAACTGTAGAGGGTTCTTCTCTTCGAAACGTTTGTACGGTGTGTGCCTGTTCGCTTGCGACTGAGCATACTCTGTGTAAGTAGCATACCTTAGGTAGGGACAAGTTGACTTGGCCCCTTCCAAGGAAAACCTCAAGTCTAAAGAAGAGATAGAGGAGTAGAATGAATCAGTGGAGGTTTCTTCGCTTCGAAACGCTTGTACGGAATGTACCGACGGACTATGACAACAGAGCATATCAATTAACTTGAGACTTCACGTACCTCGTGCAGAAAGCATTGCTCTCGTCTCAAACGGATGGAATCGACTAGATCACTAGTGTCACCTGGCTACCCATCGACGTTCCAACCCTGACGACCATCGACGGAGACGTCGCCATGACCAGCTTTACTACTTGACAATTGAGTACTGTCCATCTTCCCCCCTGGCTAACCCTATCGGATATCCCTAGCCTGAGAAGCCCGAGAATGGCTAGACTCTTGTTGCCGGCGACTTGGTGAAACTTCTTACTAACGACTTGGTGAAAGCTTCGGAGCCTACATCTAGGGCGAACTAAGGTACCTTGGTGATAAATTTCATTACCACCCAGTTCGCATGACGTATTCGGGAACGGATACGCTCTGCGTGAGGACGAAGGCAGTCAATAGACGACTAAAAAAGACTTGGCAGGTGCTGGACGATCTTTTGGCGTTATCAAAGCCACACACCCGTCGTGGCCACCATACTTGCAAAGTCCAGATCTCAAAGCCGTAAGAAGGTGTGAGTGCCACGAAGGATACCACATGTGTGGTGAACTAGGACAAGTTTCCTTGAGCCGTCCACAGGCTTTTATAGGTGCTGAGGTCAAGGCCCTTTGAACCTCGGTGAGATGATACCTCTGGGCGGAAGGCGGGTTTCAAGAAGCTATGGTCTATGTTATTTGAACTTGTTGATATTAGTAGACCGCCTTTGTTATATAGAATCTTCGAGATTATCCGATCCTTGGGAACGGCGATGTGAGACACAAGAGCAATAATAAAGGGGATACAGCAAATTCATTCACTGAAATGTTTTCTACAGATATTATTACACTGACTTTTAGTGAGTTGAGGTGCTCGACATGGAATATCTAGAATAACCTGGGAATTCGCAGGATCTAACAGACTTTCACGCTCAACCTGGCTCACAGGTCTTGGTCTCTCAGAAGAGATGAACATCAGACATCGTAAGTTCTTGTCGCATATTGAGCGGTGAAAGTAACTCTAAGTGCTTCATAAGAAGGACTTTTAATTTACGTGACGTATTTAGGCATTCCTCAAATGCTCCAGGTTCCGATGCCCTTACCCTAGTATAAGATACCAACTAGCTATAATAGTGTTAACTCGTCTCCCCGGGTATTTAGTACTTTTTATTATATGGATAGCCCTGATGGCTTTGGTGTTAAGAAAAGAACACTTTAGAAGTAGCTGTGGTTAAAAGATATAGTATTCACTATTAGAATTTAGTAGATGGGATTGCATTGGCTGAGGCTGGTAGAACGTGCTTGTTACGACGTGGTGTATCTATGGCGTACTGTAACATCATTACCCGGTTATGTAAGGCTAACGAATGAAGGTGAGAGGACGGTGCTGGGCTCGGTGGCTCGACAACATCATAGGATAGATTTCTTGAAGTCTGCAAATCCACTGGGCTCACTGCGGAAAGATGTTCCCCGTCATCGTCTCACGTTGCTCTGAGGCCGGAGATATACTCAGGATGAGTCAAGAACTTCTTGCCAGATCGCTTTATTTGCAGCGTTTACATTGGGATTTCGTGAGAAATATGAGAAGGGACTTAGAGAAGTTTGTTGGCTAGATGTCTAGGTAGGTACGTCTCATGGATCCGCTGTCTCCCAAAAGTACAGCTGCGATGGCCTCTGATAATCTCATGACAGGCACATATCGTGAGCCCTGAATGCTCATATTTGAGTACCATATCTTACAGAAGGTCATGATTGGGTTCACTATCCGCTAGAAAAACGAAACAGTCAATGATGGACGAGAGCAGAGTGTCAAATATTGAGCTTTAAGAGCTGTCAATGTAAGTATTGTCTCAACGGGAAAGTAGAAATTCCTTAGCATAGAGCACATTCATACTAGTCCGCGATGACTAACAATTTTCGTGGTGGGGGAAGCTCCTCAATAGACGTTCTGGGAGGTCTGTCAGTTGAAGAGTGTCTCTCAACACTATCGATGGTGCTGATGAGCTGAGCATAGAAAAGCTCGTTGTAGTGTTTGGAGGTTTGGATGTTACAGTAATGCTCATTCATGACTATTGCGAAGTATAGTTCACTCCAAAGAGAAAACACAGTAGCATTTGTTGACATCGAGTTTGCTCGCGTCATTCAGATTCGTGGTGTAAGGTAAGTCGATGATGCCTCTTATGTTGCGGCTTCAGTCGATAGTCGTACTCGATGGTCGTTGAAGTTGACCATCTGAAGTCGCATGCACGGTCCACCTCCTACATCGAGTTGGTTGGTCATGAGAGCTTCATTGGCCATCTGATGATGATATCCAAACACTGTCTAGCGAGCTGAGCAAAAGTCGAGTGAGTAAGCCTTTTGAGTTTTCGCGACATGGCTGCCCAAGGGGTGCAAGGTTCACTGTCAGAAGTCCCCGAGGGCGTCGGCAGAAAGAACAAGAGACAGAGACGGCATCGGAACCCCGGATGTTGCAGTGATGGGCGTATCGAGGGGGCTATCTCATTCATGGGCAGGGCAGCTTGAAACATGGACTGGTGGGAGGCATGACGACGGGCGCCCGAGCTCTCTGACGGCAACCTTGCCCGGATGATGCGTCTGATATCGGTTCAGTGCATAGATGGAAAACAAGTAACGCGAATATGCGGGAGTCTGTTTCTTCGTACAAGAATGACTTGTTCGTGTGAAGTTGAATTATCGTTAAAAAAGGCGGTTGTCTGCACCGAAACCTTCACAGTAAGAGGATTGCTCGAAAAGGGGACTGAGTTGCAGGCGAGCGGCGAACGAGCCAGGCGATTGCGGGACATCAGAAGTCAATCGGTGGCGGGACATTCCATCACCTTACGGGTACTTAGGTACCTACGGAATGTTAGCGTTGTGGCATTGGAAGGAAGGAAGGAGCCACGAAGCCACCTCATCCCTCCCAAAATCAACTTTCAGCACATCCGATTGCGTAGCCCAAGGAAGTATGTCGCTGCAAGTTCCCGTCAGGTAGCAGATAGACAGACATTTGGGCAAGTACCGCCAATGTACCGTGGAGTCGATGCGGGACCGAGATGTTAGACTCGCTCAAGATTGAATTGCGTGAAAGACCAGAATCGACAATTACTTCTGACAAAAAAAACATGGGAAAATACGTCTTTATTCTTCAAAGCGATTGAGACCGATAATTGACCATTGAGACCTCTCCACCAGCCACGCTGGTGGTGCGGTGGCGGCGCTATCAGGCTTAGCTCGAGACTGCCGCTAACAGGAGCCCCAGACTCGACGGTCGAAATACTTCCACCCCCCATCACCCGGCGGGACCAAAGGCTGCCCTGGCAGCAAGCTACCCCAAGGACAGACAGACTCCAGCACACGTCCACCTGTTCCCCTTCTGGCTTGCATCACGACACGACCTCGAAATCCCACCTTAACCTCATCTAACTCCCTTCCGAGCGCCTTTCCCCCCATCGCACCGCCACGCCGCCGACCCGACTTCGATTGCGCGACGACCATGTAAATGGTTCCTCCCATTGCATTGCGAACACCCTCATGATTGCTCCATTCCACTGCGACGGGACCGCCCTACCGAGCAGCCATGGACAACAGGGCCCAACGATTCGAGGATGAGAAGCGGCGCATCATCGAGAGCTGCTTCATCAAGAAGGATGTAGACGGATCGTGTGCGTTGAATTCCGATGTCGCTGGAATTTCTCAAACAAAAAAGTCTGCTTCATATGCGTATGGTACTGACCCTTGCTTGCTTCCGTCGATAGTGCTCGAGACATACATCACCCACATTCGAATCACCGAGTACTCCTCCCATCCGACCTCTCCTCCGCCGCCTCAAGCACGAACTCCCGAATCACAGAAAGCCCGCGTAATTGTCGTTGCAGTAAGAAAGAGTGGCCGAGTGCGTATGCACAAGACGAAAGAGAACGCGAACGGCTCTTTCTCAATTGGAAAGACATGGAACCTCGACGACCTCTCTGCCATCGAGTCCTTCACAGGACCGCCGGCTAACCCGACCTTCCGCGAATGGGCCGGCGATACCGGCTTCATCGTCACCATCGGAAAGCCCTACTTCTGGAATGCGCAGTCGGATAAGGAAAAGAAGTTCTTCATTGCCAGCCTGGTTAAGATCTATGGCAAATACACGGGAGGTAAGGTCCCAGAGCTATCGGGCTTCGACCAGGCCGAGATGGCTCAGATCCTGAGAAGCGAACGACGACCAGCACCTCCCGCACAGGCTGCCTTCCGACCTCCCGCAATGCCCGACGCTGCTACTAGTCAGACCAACCTCGGCGCTCCGAATGCGCCCTCCAACTATGGCACTCCCTCGCCTGGTCCGCCAGGCCCTCGCCGACCACCACCTCTCAATGGAATGGCAAACAACTCACCAGTGGGGAGCATGGCATCTTCATTCTCGCAAGAACCCCCTACGCTGAGAAGATTCGGGAACAAGAGCCAAGAATCTTTCTCGCCTTCCCTAGGAGGCAGAAGCGACGATACGGGAAGCATGCCGCCGCGCTCACGAAATGGTATGCCTGGGCAGGGAGCCTTTGGTAGATTCGGTGAGCCAGGCCAAGAACCTGGACTGGGACCACCTCCACCAATCTCAGAAGAAGGCAGACCACCAGAGAGGAAGAGACCACCAATGGATCCGGCAAGGCCCCAGGGACAGGGCTTCAACGACAGAGACTTGGTTCCTGCGCCGTTGGTGAGCCCGGGGATGCGACGAGACCAAGTTGCCCCTCCTCCGAGAAGTACAGCCAGAAAGAACTCCCTTTCGCAGAGGTCAGACGGAGGTTCCTACAACAATCGGCCAGTCACACCTCTTACGCCTGGAGACCCAGGTGCACCAGATGTTCCTCTTGCACTCAGAACCCCGACACGAAATGGGGCCACACCCACAAGACAACCTCCCCCCATTGTCTCTCCGCCGCCTGAAATTCCCGTTCCTCCTGCGCCGGTTTCTCCGATCGTACAGACTCCGCCTCCGGCCCCTCCGCCAGCGCCTGTAGCTGCGGTCGAGGAAACCATACCCGAGGAGCCTCCAGCCGTCGAGCCTACCCCTGAGCCTGAGACCGCTGTGGAACAAGAAGATGAGAGTCGGCCAGGTTTGGGACCGATGATTAAAGCAAAGAAGTCCAAGAACGATCTCGCTGGTGTGCTCTGGAAGGCTGCCTCCGCCGCATCAGCTTTCAAGCCTCGGCCTGGTGGTGCTGGTGAAAGACTTCGACAGCTTGCCACAAAGAGCACTGAACCCGCCGAAGGAATCACAACAGTTTTCCAACCTCCGCCACGGCCTGCCTCTTCTGACGGTCCCAAAGTCACATCACCTGAACCTGCAGCTGAAGAGACTGCAGCACCCGTTGAGCCTCCCAAGCGCACATCTGGTGTGCCTGAGGTTAAGGTCACTGTGCCCAATTCTAGTCGACCGTCGAGCTTGCAGCCCTCAATTCAGGAAGTTATTAATGTGAAGAAGCCAGAGGATGCCGCCGCCAAGGAGGAGAACAGCAAGTCGATAGTTGCCGGTAATGACGCCAAATATCTTGCATCTCTTGGTATTGATCCCACAGTCTTGGATAACAAGAGCGGCGAATTCACAAAGTGGCTTGATTACTTTGGATGGGTTCCCGGCGAGCAGATGAGATCTCGTAACGTGGACGAGATGAGGACAGACCTTGAGCGAGAGCTCAACAAGGCACAAGCAGGTGGCTGGCTGGCCCGATTCCAGGAAGAGGACGATCGTGTCGAGGCTATCAAACGCGGCATTGATCTGGCAGTCGCTGAGTGTGAAGAAATGGAGAATCTTCTGACGCTGTACAGCGTTGAGCTTTCGGTAGGTTTCTTGGTAAACTTTCCGACGTTGTTGCTGACCAGAAACAGACTCTTTCCGATGATATTGCATATATTGAAGCCCAAGGCCAGGGTCTTCAAGTGCAGACTGCTAACCAGAAACTGCTCAAGAAGGAGCTCGAGTCTCTCCTCGAGACAACTACTATTACCTCTGCCGATCTCAACGCCTTGAGAGCGGCACCACTTGAAGATCTCAACGGACTTGAAGACATTGAGATTTCTTTAGTCACTCTCTACAAGGCCATGATCAAGATCGACCCCACGCTGCTAGGGGGTGAACCACGAAAGAGCGAAGAGATTGGCGGAGAAGTTGATCAAGCCGTGGGTCTCGAGAACACTGACTATGGCAAGATGCGAATTGTTCAGGAGAAGAAAGAGATGTACCGGCAAGAAAGCGCTGTCTTCTCGCGACGGTTGGTCGGCTACATGGCCCAACAGTTCGATGTAGCCTACAACGAAGTCAACAGAGCGCTCCGCGAAGCTCTTTCAAGAAAAGTGGATTCTCGCCACCACGACACTGGTCGAGACATGTTGTGGAAGTACAGTCCCTTGATCAAATACGCCAAGGATGTTGACCCCGCCAACTGGGATCGCATGATCCAGGTCTACCAAGACAAGAGCCACCCGGTTTACAAGAACGAATTCCGCCAGGTCTTGGAAGCATGGAAGCGCAATGCGCGCAAGATGACCGCCGACGAAACATCCGAGCTCCTGTTTACATTTGAAGTCGAAAAGCAGCAGGAAGGCAGAGCGACCACTGTCAGGAAGCTCACCGTCAAGCGTAGTCAGACATTGGCCAAGAGTCTGCGTTCGCCCATTGATACCAGCAGTAGGACTAACTTGAAAGAGTCGGGCGAGAACCGAAGCCTTCCTTATGAGGTGTTTGGGCAGGTGCTGGACGACCTTCTGCCGTTGGTTGAGATGGAGCAGAACTTCATCATTGACTTCTTCCACGCCACCACGTTGGAGCAATCAGACTTCCCCGACCTGGTCGCAGCCAGCAGACCGTCAGATCGGAGAGGCGGCGACTTGCGTCGCCATCGTTTGATGGAGCCTGACCGCGATCTTGCTCGACGTGTTACTAAGGGTATGGAGGTGATTTTCATCTTCCTCGAGACGGAGATTGCCAAGCTCATCGAATGGGTCGTCCAAGCCGATCCTTTGTAAGTTGACTCCAACTCCATTTTATGGTCATGACATACTAATCAGTTGTTTCAGACAAGGTGCTGGTGTCTTGGCTGTTCTCGAGCGGAATCTGGGGGACATCCAACAATCCAATCAAGACTTCCTTAACGCTCTCCTCCAGAAGCTCCACGGTGTCTTGGAGTCCCGATTTAAGAAGTTTGTCGACGAGCAGATCCGCGCCATTGAGGAGACTAAGGTCAAGATTAATAAGCGCAAGGGCGTTATTTCGTTCATTCGCGTCTTCCCTCAGTTCTCCAACGCCGTGGAAAACATTGTCTCGGGTATCGACCCCAGCCTAGCTGTGCGCAAGACGGTTGACCGCGAGTATGATCGCATCCTCAAGTCCATGTTCGACTCTCTCAAGATCATTGCTCGCGAGAACCCGGCAGTCAGCGTTGGTGCGGCGGGTGCGGATCCAGAGGACAAGGAGGCACTCAACTTCCACATTCTCCTGATCGAAAACATGAACCATTTCCTCGAGGAGATCAACACGCACGGCCTCAATGTCCTCGAAGACTGGCGCGAGGCTGCGACAGGCGAGATGAACGAGCACATGAACCTGTACCTGAACGCTGTAATGCGGCGCCCCCTCGGCAAGCTCCTCGAGTACGTCGAGAACATCGAAGGCCAGCTGCAGTCGGGCAAGCCCGGTTCGAGCATCGCCTCGCAGCCCTCCAATTCCAAGTCCACTTTCCACAAGGTCTTGGCAACGTACGACTCGCGCGAGGTCCGCAAGGGTATCGAGACGCTGCGCAAGCGCGTCGAGAAGCACTTTGGCGACGCGGACGACCCTGCTCTCAGCCAGAAGCTAGTGATCAAGGTGCTCCGCGAGTGCGAGCGCTTCTACGGCGAGGTGGAGCTGCGCATCAGCCGCATCACCGCAGACGTCTATAGCGGAGACGTCCTCTTTGAGTGGCCCCGCGCCGAGGTCAAGTCCGGCTTCCGCTAGAGGCATATGCTACTTGGCCTGAGAACCGGGACCTATTAATTTGATGCTGAACGCGAGACGAAGCAAGCCAGATGCAGAATCAACTTTCTGCTTTTGTCGGATTGCTTCCTCCAAATCCCCCATTTTGATTGAGTTGTTTCCGGGCATGAAGTGA